AGGAAGGCCCTCTATGAGGTGGATTGATAATTGGGATGGGAGTGTCGGAGACAGTGCGATTGGCACAGGACAGAGCGGAGTTTAGGGCTGTTGTACTTAGGGTCGCTATGAGTCGCAGGCGACTCGATGGCACATAACAACAACAACAACCACAACATCATATTATTTTGCAAAGTTGTTGCTCCTTAGTTCTGTGTACTGTTCCAGTGAGATACATACGTTGAATGAAACAACTTAATGTCAAGTCGATTCCAATCCACGCTTTTCTGAGTTGTTGTTTTTGTTATGTGCTGTTGAGTCACCTTCAACTCATAGTGATCCTATGCACAACAGGAGTAGAACTGTTATTTAGGGTTTTCACTAGCTGATGTTTTAGAAGTAGGTCACCAGGCCTTTCTTTAGAGGCACCTATTGGTAGACTGTAATTGTCAACCTTTCAGTTAGCAGCTACTAAAGAGCAGATACAATGAATGTGGAGGTTGTTGAATCTTACTTCTACTTGCTTCCTAAAGGGGAACTGGTCCAACCAATAATATCCATAGTACTAAACACATAGATATACAGTCAGACATGCCACCACACATGCTCCTGCACCTATTTCTACCCGTCTTTGAGTCCAATGCTCATTTCATCTTGACTCACAGATTTTACTCATAGGTGTGGGGTTTATTAGGGAAACAGGTTGAGGAGTGGGGAACGCAAAGAATATCACAAAATGTAAGTCCAGGTGTAGTTCAGCAGTCCCAAGCCATATTAATATGGCACAAGTCCTCAATCAGTGAAAGTCCAAGTTCAGTTCAGCAGCACAAATGCACCTCTGTTTTCCTCAGTCATATAGCAAACTTGATCTCAGAGTATTTACAAGGCAGGTTTTCCTTCAATCATTCAGCTAGCAAAACCTTTAACTCTGGCACCATATCCTTTGTTTCTCCAGTTACACTTTGCCACAGTCTCTTCGCAGTTTCTCACAGTCTCTGTACAGCAGTGCTGCAGTCTCTTCATCCTGTTTGCACAACCAGTCTTCACAGTGTGAAGAGCTTTCTTGTATTGGTTGCACAGCTGTTGATGATTTCCAAGACCACGTGTCTGCAGTTGAAGTAGTTGGAGACTAGGCCTTCAGTGGGAGCTGCCTTTTCACATAAACACTGCTGAATGGCTGTTGAACTACAAGCCTTTCTTTTGTGCGTAAATCATTCCAATTCTCATTTCTTCTAAACTATTTCTGTTGTTGGTCAGATTAACCTGTTCCCATGTCTTTTGACTATCTTTTTGTTGATCAGTAAATGAGTAGATTGGATGGGTGTTTGACATAGCTGACAGCTCAGAACTAGATGGATTTCTTTTGAGTTCCACTTACTGAACTTCATGACCCAGATAAATGCTAGTGAATGTATTTAATAGAAGATTCTCATTACTGTTTTAACAAAGACCTCTTCCCTTGCAGTGCCGCATGCACGTCAAGAGCCCCATGGACTTTGAGTGGCTGAAGCAGTGCAGGTTCTACTTTCATGAAGATTCTGACAAGATGATGATCCGCATTACAGATGTGGCTTTCACCTACCAGAACGAGTTTCTGGGCTGCACAGACAGGCTTGTCATTACTCCACTCACAGACAGGTGAGACAGTGATTCGATTCAGGTTTGTCACCTGCTGCTCATGACCCTCCTTCTCATTTTATCCTCTGGAGTTGCTTCTTCTTCTTGTTGTTATGTGCTGTCGAGTTGCTTGCGACTCATAGCAGCCCTATGTACAACAGCCCTAAACTCTGCTCTGCCCTGTGCCAATCTCACTGTCTCCAACACACCCATCCCGATTACTCCAGTCACTGAATCAATCCACCTCATAGAGGGTCTTCCCCTCCTGCACTGTCCCTCCACCCTCCCAAGCATGATGTCCCTCTCCAAGGACCAGTCCCTCCTTACAACATGTCCAGAGTATGTTAGATGGAGCCTCAGAATCCTTGCCTTCAAGAAGCAGCCTGGTTTTACCCTCTCCAGAATGAATCTGTTTGTTTTCTTGGCAGTCCATGGTACATTCAATACTCTTCTCCAGCACCACAGTTCAAAGATATCAACTCTCCTTCTATCCTCCTTAGTCATTGTCCAACTCTCTGATGCATAACAACTGGTTGCAAAAACCATGACTGTATCAGGCACATCCTAGTATCCAGAGAGACACGATTGCTTTCAGTACTTTGGAGAGGTCCTTAACAAGCTGACTTTCCCACTGCAATATATCTTTTAATTTCCTGGCTGCTGGTGCCAGGAGTGTTGCTTAAGGAGGTTTAATGCCTCCTCAAGGCACATAGGTCCTTTTCTATCAAAGCTTTTGAAATTGTTACACATTTAACTTAGACAGAAAAAAACCTTACTTACCTTTGTCTTTAGTCTTGTGGAGACAAAGCTGAAATGACCCCAAAACCAAAAACCAGTCCCATTGCCAGTGGGTTGATTCTGCCTCACAGCAATCTTCAAGGACAAAATAACACAGCCCCATAGGATGTCAAGGATGTTAATCTTTATGGAAGCAGACTACTACCAATGTTCCTCCTATGAAGTGGCTGGAGGGTTCAAACTACTGAACTCTTGATTAGTGGACAAGAGCTCAGTCATTGTACCTTGAGGGCTCCTTAAGTGACCTCGGTGGACATTGGAAGGGCAAGAAAGTGAAGGAATCAATAGGTGCCAGTGTTAATGAGGTGTTGCATGTTGTCCTTAACCAACCAATTTCCTTTGAGTTTACTCTGACTCACGTGGGCCGCAGTACAGCCATATTCAGAGGATTTTCAGTGGCTCATGTTTCAGAGCACCAGGTCTCTTTCCTCAGGAATTTCTGAATGGATTTAAACTTCTAAACTTTCAGTTAGCAGCTAATCGTGTTGACCAGTTTCCCTTATCTGGGCCACATAATAGATGCTAATTAAATGCTTGCTCAATGAATGAAATGAGAAAATGTTATTTTTAAAGTAATGATGGTGAATTACATGCCACCACAGTGAGTTTGAAACCTCATTTTCTGAGTGGTGAGATAAGTGGTGAAAACATAAATGACACAGAAGAACATAATGTTGAAATCATGAGAGGAAAAACTCTGCAGCTTTTCTGAGGTAACCATGACTGACAGTTTATTTTCTATCCCTCCAGAAATTTTTCATGCTTATCTATATGTCAGAATTATTTTTAGTTTTAAAAAAAGTATCATTCTAAATAAAATTTTTTTCTAGAATTTTACATTCTTTGTGTATTTAAACATTGAAACTTTAAAATAAATCATGTGTTACAGATGGATAGAAATTCTGGAGAAACAGTTGTTAAGCTTTTGTCTGCTGAAACCTGCCAGTTTGTTCTGGGGGAGAAAAACGTTTAGTGTGCTTCCATAATAATTTATAACCTCAGAAATTCTCAGATGCTTTGGACCTGTTGTCTGAAGAGATCGGTCCCTGGAGAGGAACATCATTCTTGGTAGAGTAATTGTTATTGTTATGTGCCATCAAACAGTTTGATCTATAGCTGACCCTGACTTGCCAGTGGGTTTTCAGAGGTAACCAATTGTATGGAAGGAGATTGCACTTTTCCTCCAGAGCAGCTGGTAGATTTGAACCACAATACTTCAGGTTTGCAGTACAGCTTTTAACCACTACATCACCAGAGCTTGTGGTAGAGTAGATGATCGGCAGCAAAGGGGAGGATCCTCAAGGATGTGGATTGACACTGTTGCTACAATTAGGGACCCAGTCATAGCAACGTGCAGACCAGGAAATGTTCATACTGTTGTACTTGTTGTTGTTGTTGTTATGTGTCATCAAGTCGCTTGTGACTCATAGCGACCCTATGTACAACAGCCCTAAACTCTGCTCTGTCCTGTGCCAGTCTCACTGTCTCCGACACACCCATCCTGATTACCCCAGTCACTGAATCAATCCACCTCATAGAGGGCCTTCCCCTCCTGTGCTGTCCCTCCACCCTCCCAAGCATGATGTCCCTCTCCCAGGACCAGTCCCTCCTTACAATATGAACAAAGTATGTCAGATGAAGCCTTGGAATCGTTGCCTCCAAGGAGCAGCCTGGTTTAACCCTCTCCAGGATGAATCTGTTTTCTTAGTAGTCCATGGTATATTCAACACTCTTCTCCAGCACCACAGCTCAAAGGCATCAATTCTCCTTCTATCCTCACTAGTCATTGTCCAACTCTCGGATGCATATTTAGGGTCTTTATTTTTTATCTATTTTTTAGAGTCATTATGAGGTGGGACTTGATACCTAACGATGACAGGTATTGGTGTATACTAGGTAATACAGGTGTATGGTGAGCGATTGGGTATGTAATGTGGAGGAGATTCTTAAGTTTGCCCTTTCACTTAAAGTCTCACATTTTTGAAAAAAAATTAAATTTAATGATGTTAGAATTTAGTCATCATTTTTGACTGGTCATCGGGATTCCAGGGGAAAATGTTCTGGCCATTGGAATTCCACTGCTTGCTTTGTTGTCATTTTACAAAAATAACTTCCTCACTGAAATGAGCACTTCAAAAGGAATCAAAGGCTGGAGGCTTGGCACTTTGCAGCTCTTCTTACCGACAAGTCTCTTGTGAAGATTCAGCAACCATGGCAGCGGTGATCTCTGGGAAGCTCAGTGCTTCATGGATGGAGTTGCAGATGTTTCAGGTGATAAATAACCATTCTTGTATAAGTTAGAGGCGTCTGATGCCTTTCTCCAAAAACTCCTGGTGTTTCCAATAACCAGTGTTTCTTTCCTTCCCTGTGGGAATGCAAACACAGATGTCTGCAATTGTCTTAACTACTGGCTTAGCGGTAAGGCGTACTGTAAATCCAGAGGCACAGATTCAAATCTACCAATTTCTCTGCTGCAAAAGAAAGATGAGTAATCTTCTCCCATGCAATTTATTGTTCCTGGAAATCCATTGGAGGGTCAGCTCTGAGTGACTTCCAACTTGATAGTAGACAAAACGAACAATAACTGTCAATAAAGGAAGAGGGAGAAGAAATTGAAAACTGATATTGGTCTTATATGCCTGCTAAGAAATGTCAAGAGGCCTAGAACACAAATCTTTTTCTAACATTTTCTCACAGCTTCTCTGAGTGACACCTGAGCTTTGGCCGCTTGGATCTAGTCTTAGAAGCTGTGTAATCTTGGAAGAATATCTAACATCTCTGGTTACAGGAAATCTCACTGTGTGGAATACAGGCAATGTCTGTAAGTTCCCAGCACCAGATTGAGCTCAGAGTAAATATTAATCATTATGGTTATTGCAATTCCTTACCATGAAGTCACTAGGGCTCCTAACACACACACACACACACACACACACACACACACACACACACACACACACACGTAGAATACCTATTTTCATATTTAGGAAAGAATTCACACATGCATGTAAAATCTGCTTAACACAAGTATTATTTGTACAGAATACGGTCATCTGTAAAGAGTCCTTTAAATGAGTGACAGACCTATGCAGGTGATTGAAAAAAAGTCCTAGACAGTTTTGATGTAAATATAGAGAGTAGACTGGTCCTCATCTAGGTGAACAAAAAAGAAAACAAATCTTTTACTCATTACCTTTGGGTTGGATCCATCTCATACCTAACCCTCTAGCTGGTTTGCAGAGGCTATAAATCTCATGAAAGGACATCATTGTCCATCTAGCTCTCAAGGAGTGACTGGTGGATTTGAACCACTGGAGAGACACCAGCTCTTGGTTAATAGTTCAACTCTCTACAGACTATTCTAACTCTCTCAAAAGAAAAAAAAATAGAATAATAAATGATGGAATCTATATCTATCTATCTATCTATCTATCTATCTATCTATCTATCTAATTTTCTACCAATTAAAGAGCAAAGATGAACATTAAGAAGTCAGGAAAGAGTAAATAATGGAACTTCAACAGCCAGATTGGGAATAAAGAGAATGTTGGAGAAGTGTGGAAAATTCCAATAATGTCACTGAGCAATATGTGTAGAAATTATTACACAGGAACCTGGTTTACTGTACACACTTCCACCAAAAACTCAAGAAATATTAAAAAACAACAACAAACTTTTGCTACTGCAGTTTAGATGTGAGGCAAGGAATCTCTATGACCAGAAGCATTTTTTAGTTTAAGGTAGTAAGAGATCCGGACCCCATCATGTGTCCCAGACTGTACTTTTTTATGAAAGCAATCTACCGTATCTGTTTCCTGAAGACTGGCTGGCATGTTTGAACCTCTGACCCTTTGAATGAATGCTTAACCACTGAGCCACTAAGCATCTCCTTAAATATTGTGCCTATTGGGTTACTCACCATGAGTTAAAATCCATTTAGAAGCACCAAAAAAGAATCAAATAGAATTCATCTACTTAGATGCTGTTCCCAGCCAGTATCATAAAATAGTCTCCTTTGGAAGTATATTTCTGTGAAAAAAACGTTTTATCATTGCTAAATGTCAAGTTTTTGAAATGCTATGTACGATTTCTTATACTTGGAGATTCTCCATATACATTATAATAAGAAAACTGCAAAATGAAGAAATCTAAATACTTTTGCCAGGACTTAACAAACTTACCTGATCGGATTCCCTTCTCAAAACATCTTTCCTTCTGTACCAGTCAGATCTGATTTCACGGTACACACACACACACACACGCGCGCGCGCACACACACACACACACACACACACACACAAATAATAAAATGAAAAAAATTAAAAAAAAAACACAAACATCTTAATACCGCCGGAAATGTATCTTAGGATGTGGTTTTGGAAAATGCTATGTAGGGACAATGGCATGGCTATCCCATTTTATTAAAAGCCTCCTGTGTGGGTTGCGTTTCACCGTGTTGCTTCCAAAGTCTCCCCTGGCTGCCCGTGGTGGATTCTGTGGATGTTTTTCTTCCGTAAGGTGTTACATCACGTTGGCTCAGGCTCTGGGGATGAGCATGGGAGGAGCCCCCGCTGGACCAGCAGGGACGGGTAAGACAGAAACGACCAAAGACATGGGACGCTGTCTGGGCAAGTACGTCGTGGTTTTCAACTGTTCAGACCAGATGGATTTCCGGGGACTTGGGCGGATTTTTAAAGGTGAGAGTTATGTTTGTTTTTTTTTTTACTTGCTGAGAGATTTCCGCTAAGGTGGACTGCCTCATTAGCATCTAGTCCAGCAGTTGGCCGGCCACCTTTCAGCCTCATTTCCTCCTCCGTCCCCTAATTTTGTGAAATGTTTGGAACATGTTGGTTCTTACCAGTGTGGTTCAGATTTGATTTTCATCTTCCTAGCCATTTTTTTAAAATTGTTTTACTTACAATCATTCTTCTACATGTTTCATACAATCATTCATGTACCTTACATTTTACCTAATTATTTACTATTGATCTCTGCCTATCATTACTCTTTCTCTTCAAGTCTCATTGAATCTTTCCTATTTATTCACCTCTGCTCTGCTCACTAACCTTTGCTATCCTCCTGAATTCCCCTCTTCCCTTTTCTCTGTCCCTTTCTCTTCCCTTCACCTCCCCATTTTTTGTGATTGTATATTTATTCCTTATTAAAAACTTTCCCTTACAGACTGAAGGATTCTGAATTATATTTACCCAAATAGGTGTCCTTCAATAGGAAGAGAAGTAGAAATACCGATGCATTCTTTTGAAGTAGAAATATTGGATTTTTTAATATGATGCTTATTCTGCAAGTGTTTACAATCTTGAATTATGCAAAAAATTGTCTTTTGTTAATTACTATTTAAATATGCATTTCTCCATTTCATTTCTACATTGACCAGCACATCACTACAAAATAAAATAATTGGAGAGCAAGTTCACTTAGTCGTGTTGGTCTCTCTCTCTCTGCCCAAACAAAAGAGTAAATACATCATTCAGAAGACCCAAAGACTGGAAAGCAAGATGTAACAAAGTAGTCCCTTCTACAAAAATCCAAAACTCAAAACATCTTGACATTTATGAAATAATTTTTCTTTTACTTTTCAAAGAGAAGAGCGAACTGGGGGGAAGGGTGGGCAGGAATAAAATGCAACAATGAATGTATGGAAATCTGAAATCTCTGTAAACTTTCATTAAAATTAATTTTTTTTAAAAAGAAGAAGAATTCCCTTTTCCCTTTTGAACGTGGATGAACATCTTCAGTTATCCTCAGCCATCCCCTGTTTTCCCAATAGTGGCCTCACGTTGGATTTGTCCTTTGTCATGCTTCTTTGTCACCGTGGATCAGGCTTTTACAGATAACGGGCCACCACTGAGAGCTGTGTATTTGCAACACATCATCAGCGGCATTTTTGAATGAACTTGTCTTGTCACCTGTGTAACGCCCTTTCCCCTTGGAGTTCTGAAATGATGCACTAATTGAATTTTCTATTTAATTTCCTCTCTCAGGGCTGGCGCAGTCTGGATCCTGGGGCTGTTTTGATGAATTTAATCGTATCGATCTACCAGTTCTCTCCGTTGCGGCCCAGCAAATTTCCATTATTCTGACATGTAAAAAAGAGCGTAAAAAGTCCTTTATTTTCACTGATGGAGATACTGTGACGATGAACCCTGAATTTGGACTTTTTCTAACCATGGTGAGGAAACATGAGCATAGACTCTGGGTTCCAGCCTTTGGACAACTGTCTCATACATGCCGTGTATTTTCCATGAATTTAAATTATGATTTTTTTTTTCACTCTTGTTTGAAAGCCTCTAAAGATTAAAAAACAACAACAAACTCCTATTAACCCAGGAGTTAGTCTCTCTAGTGAAAAAGGAGAGCAGATATTGTAAATGTGGATGTTATTTCAGATTTGTGGAATCCACATGACAAATCTTTTACTATCCTGCTGATGATCATATTGTCTTGGGAGTGGGCCCTTCACCCCAGGTTTTGTTTTCTGTTTAGAATCCTGGCTATGCTGGGCGGCAGGAGCTTCCTGAAAACCTGAAAATTAATTTCCGCTCAGTGGCCATGATGGTCCCAGACCGTCAGATTATCATTCGGGTGAAGCTGGCTAGCTGTGGCTTCATTGACAATGTCGTCCTGGCCCGGAAGTTTTTCACCCTCTACAAACTGTGTGAGGAGCAGCTCTCCAAGCAGGTATGATCTCCTTGAGGGCACTATTTATTCACTTATAAGGATTTTTTTTTATGAGTGTAGCCATGGATTGAGGCTCAATGTCAAGAAGACAAAGATTCTCAGCAATGGACTAATTGGCAGCATCAGAATGGATGGTGAAGAGATTGACATTGTTCACAGCTTTAGTTTGCTTGGCTCCACAATCAACACTCTTGGCACCAGCAGCCAGGAAATGAAAAGACATATTGCAATGGGAAAGTCTGCTGTTAGGGACCTCTCCAAAGTACTGAAGAGCAATGGTGTCTCTCTGGAGACTAAGGTCTATAAGGCCATGGTCTTTA